AAAAAAAAACCTGTGTAGAGAATTTGACGTTAGCTGCACTTCTTCCATTTCCATCACACCTTTGTGCCTCTATCTGAAGGTGTCAAAAAGCTCATCTTTAATTGACAGAAGCTGACCAGAAATTGAATTTGATATCAATTAAATAATTTAAGTTTCCAAAGCTCTAATTGACAGAAGCTGACATAATTTGAATTTGGCATGGTTTCACCGAAAATGGAGGTCGAATTAAACCTAGAATTTCTTCACACACTCCTCAACTGACAAGCCCAGCACCCCATACTCGCTTACCTGGAACGATTCGAAGCCGATGACCACAGTCAACCACATCTGCTTCTCCCTATCTTCGATCGAAGCATCTACATGCAAAGAATTAATATGTGAAGGGAGAGGGAGAGGAACAGAAGGAGAGGACCAGAAGGTTCGATGCTCTTCTCCCTGCAAAGACACATGATTCAAGCCTGTTTGGTAACGAGAATAGACGCTTTTTATGGGAATAGCTGAGAGCTGGGCTGTTTGGGTTTTATCCCCGAACCATAAATAAAACATATTTTATAGGGTGTAACCCGCCGGGTGTCGAACCGGCGGGTGTCCCTATCATTATCCTAATCAGAAAAGAAAGAGAATGCCAAGCTGTAGGGGTAGTAAACAGAAAGACAAAGCTGTAACGAGCAATCTTCCTTCCAAACAAACCAGCAATCTTCTTTTGCTAGAAACGTTGAAATCTTGTCCACTCATTGGCGCAGAGGCCCCGGTAGCTAGTGAAATAGATATGGTGATGGAGATGGAGATATTGCGATGGATGGGACTGCAGGATCAAATGAAAATGGTAATGCTGTATTAGAACTTTGATTCCCTGCACCAAAATCAATTACTAAAGCAAATATAGCTTTGACTTGGCACAGTAAGAAGGCTAAGGCAGATATCCTTAAATCTGAAACAACTCTTGCCGAAAGCCCCCATACACCACTTATAATTGCACTTTTTTCCAATGTAGGATTGGGGTATCAGAAGAAGAGCACTTGCCTGGACAAGGAGCTTGAGAAGAATTAGCTAAACTGCAACGTAAAGATGATGGAAATTAGTTGTATTACCAAATGCTGGAATTCTGCTAGCTAAATTTCTACTCTTTGTAGATTAAGCTATGGAAATGATGAAGGGAAAATTGTGTTGTTACCTTCTGAAAATCTTGCCACCAAGATGGCCACGGTAAACACAAGTAGTGATGTTACACCCTGTAGCCGTCTGATTCACATGTGAGTCGCCAATAAAAAGCTCAGATCCCTTGCATTGTAACTGAGAGCATGTGGTTTCAATACCAGAGGGCCCGCATCGCAAACTGATCAATTATCACAAGGTAATTAATGCCTAATAGGCTAATATGCTTGCAAAAAAAGAAAAAAAGAAAAAAAAAATTTCTAGCTTACTTGAGGTCATGCTGTCCATAAGAACATTTGATGCAGTTGTTGGCAGTAAGAGCAGATGATCCATTGGGAACAATTAGGCTCTCATTGTACCAGTTGAGGTTTGCAGATGAACATGCTGTAAATCTAAGAAGAATCACGTTAATGATGCTATTGTACAGCTCAAGTCCATAAATGTTAGTCTCTTGGACCGACATAATCAGATATGCAAGGATAAGAACGTTGGTTTCCCAGTTTCACCATTATGTGAAGAACTTTAATGGAGAAATCTACATTTATTCATGCTCTGACTAGCTCGAACTTTTAATGATAGCTTAGACTTTTAGAATGACTGACCTGCAATTGCGATGAGAGTATGTCTCCAGGATCAACTCCCGGCTGGCTGAGCCCATTCACTGCCACCACGTTCATAGTACTTACTCCAAATTGAGCCCCAATGCTGGCCAAACTATCCCCCCTTTGCACTACATATGACATGTACACTGAAGCAATCCCATTGTTAACATTGTCAAAGCATGTGCATGGCAATGGAATCACAAGTTTCTTCCCACTCTTTAACGGATTCTGGGTATTAATACCATTGGTACTCCTTATTTGTTCTGCACTTTCCAAACTGGTTTCAGGAATTGATCATGGGCGTGATGTTGAGTGCCAAAGATCAACTCCCAAGCATATTTGTATGTAGATTTAACCGAAAATTTGCCATTGTTGGTCCCAAGCCATATTAATCTATCAAAGGAGCAGCTTCTACTAAGGGGGATGTGTAGAATGCTCTCTGCATCTTCTGCACAAAATTGTTGTCGAACATCTCCTTCCTTCCAGCAGCCTTTATTTACATCTATTAAAGCACTGACCCTATCATCCATGTCCTGGTAAACAAGAGCAGACTGTGGCCGAGGGATGGCCCCAGAAGGCAACTAGTTGTCTCTCCAAAGTCTAACGTCCTGTCCAGTACCTATTCTCCATGTTGATCCCAATTTAAGAATACCAAGGCCAGCAACAACCCCTTGCCAGACCATAGAAGCGTTAGCTCCTGCAGAAGCTCCCAAGAAATCTCCATCGGGAAAGTATTTAACTCTGAGGACTTGATAGCATAAGGTGGTCCTATCCTGCATCATACGCCAGCTTTACTTTGCCAACATAGCTAAATTGAAAGCTCTAAAATCCCGGAAGCTTAATCCTCCAAGTCGCTTTGGTCTACAAATGAGATCCCATCTTATGCTGAGCAATATTATTCTTAATTTCCAAATCCAAGGAAGGGTCCCAGCAGAACTTCCCAAACCTAGCATTACTTATGTTAATAATTAATGTTCTCAAAATGTGTTGGGTAAACATCGTTAGAGAAATGTCAACTCCACTTCCATTATAGCGTTAAGATGTGGTTCAATTTTTTTTTTTCTTTTTTTATTCCCAGGGAGCCCTGGTTGGAAGGAGGAAACTGAAACTGACAACTTAAACAGTAACCAACTGAAAGCTCAACTGACCCAACTGAACAACTACCGGCCATTAGATGAGGTTCAATTTAATTCCTAATCAAACGCAATTCATTTACTTGGAAGCATGTTCATCATTGAGAAGGAAAATGAGAGGTTAATGGAGAGGTTATTGACACCATTAATAAAGATTATTAATTTTATTATTAATTTTATTTATTTATAATTTTTTATATAAATAATTAAGATATTTAAAAATATATATTTATAAA